TATGAAGAATGAAAGGAAAAAGGAGACAGCGGTCCATTCTGGACAGAGGGTTAAAGATTTCATAAGATGTGACAACCTTTGAACACAGCACCCAACTCAGTTCTCCACAGAGTAAATCTTTCCAGCTCTTTTAATTGTTTCTTTGATACTTTCTTTCATACCCGTAAGTAATATTCTAGCACTATTTTTTATTTTTCAGTTTTAATCATTATCGGTTTAATAGATCCTGTTAACTTCTGTCTATGGAAAATGAGGACTTGGTATCCTTTCACAACCACCCCTACCCCCATGTATGCATGCGTACTATTCTTCTACCCCCGTCCTCCCAATAGAAATATTCTCACTTGGTTCAATCAACGTACAGTACTTAGGTTATTACGATCATGCAAATGCTATTCACAGCTGAATAAAAATTATAGCCAATATTTACAAAGTGTTGTGCTAAACACTGTTTTAAATATACGTAATTCATTTAACACTCCCAGTAACCCTAAGTGGTTAGCCCTATTCCTATCTTCACTTTACAGATATAGTATATTATGATCATTTTTCCTCTCTTTTACAACTTTTTGTTTTCCCTGGAATTAAGAATCTCTCTCTTTAGATCTTTTCTTTTAGACAGATTCCCCAAAGATGATTCTTCCAATCTCTTGAATGAAAAGTATAAGACTGGCTAATAATGTTCTAGGAGCCAAGTAGAAGTAAGCTGGGAATTTTAACATTCAAGTACGGACACTTTCATTTAATCCTCTGTTTTCAATACAGTATTCCCCCCTCACCCAACTCCAACTCCACTCGACTGTACCCAATATCCCTAGGCCAAGGACCATCTTTGTTTTACCTTTTCTAGAAAACAAATCTCTAACATTCTGCCAGATGTCTGTGGGGAGAAGGAAGACCGTTACCCAGTTGTGCACTCTGACATTGAGACTGGAGGGGTCTCTTGCTCATTAAACCAACCCTTCTGTTTTCAGCCCCTCTTTTAGAAGTACCTAGTGCTATCAAATTCCCAATCTTTGAAGATTTAGTCAGGCAAACTGAGTAGCACCTCACAGCTCTCCCCCAGCTGCAGGCTTAGAATTCAACTTTTTGAGAAGCCAAAGTTAGTTTCCAACCATCCTTTTATTTTCTAGCTTCCAAAATTTACTATCAACATTTAAATTGTCTTTTTTTCCCTTATGGGATAATGCATTTAAAAAATTCCTTTAGTGGCCGGGCGCGGTGGCTCACGCCTGTAATCCTAGCACTCTGAGAGGCCGAGGCGGGTGGATCACTCAAGGTCAGGAGTTCGAGACCAGCCTGAGCAAGAGCAAGACCCCATCTCTACTAAAAAATAGAAAGAAATGATCTGGACAACTAAAAATATATATATAGAGAAAAAATGAGCCGGGCATGGTGGCGCATGCCTGTAGTCCCAGCTACTTGGGAGGCTGAGGCAGTAGGATTGCTTGAGCCCAGGAGTTTGAGGTTGCTGTGAGCTAGGCTGATGCCACAGCACTCACTCTAGCCCGGGCAGCAAAGCGAGACCCTGTCTCAAAAAAAAAAAAAAAAAATTCCTTTAGTGTGGTTTTAGTGGGGGTTTTAGGAGGAAGAAAGATAAATGTATGTATGAAGGTCTGCAATCTTTAAGTGGAAGCCTAAACTAAGACTTGAAATATGAATAGGTACATTTGCCAGGCAGGGTGAATAATGAACAAAAGCAAGGTATAAAAACAAGGTGGTCTGTTTAAAGTAACTCAATAAAGCTGTATGACTAAGTAGAAGTGGTATATGAGTTAAAGCTAATTCAGAGTATAAAAAATTTAAATTGAAACTTGATACAGTTACTAACTCTAAGCTTTAGCTATAAAACATTTACCTAACAATCCCAAGAACACAAGATACAAAAATAGTATTTCATGAAGAGTATTCCTTGGAAAGGCATTATATAGAGGGGGGAAAAAAGTTTCTTAGTAAAATATATTTGGGAAACATTAGGTTAAAGAAGTTAAAACATATTTCTTTCTATAGATTATTACTGAGCATTTAATATAGTAACATAAACTGTCATTTTACAAGAAAGGTAGTTTCTGATGTCTTTCAAATCCATACAACCACAGAAACATTTTGAAGAAACTGTTCTACCATGTTACTTATTACCTTACTGCTTGATGTCTTTCCGGTTAGGTTACAAACATTCTCCAGGAGCCCTAGATTTCCTTGTGCATCAGTATAAGATATTTGACCACAAGTAGGATGCCACGCCAGACCACAAATTGCATAACCTTTCTCATTTTTCACCCTAAAAATTAAAGAGTTGGTTTTTAAAATACTGTCAAGAAAAATACAAACTGTACATTTCTTTAGGTAAATTTTAGTTAAAATGAATTCTGACAATCTAACAGCTGTGTATTTTCATTCTGACAATCTAATAACTGCAAATTTAAAATGTTTCACAATAAAACAGAAAAAAACTAATAGAAATGAACAAAGAAGAGACAAAAGATATGCTAAATCATACCTTTCCATGCAGTCTTTGGTTTCCACATTCCATACTATAATTAAGCCATTAATACTACCTGCAGCTAAATATTGCCCACAGGGAGACCAGGTTACTATATTGAGGGTCTATAAAGAAAAATAGTTAATAAATAATAATTTGGCATAATTTGAAATTAAACACTCATTTTATTACCCAATCCAAATTTTATATCCCTATTTTATATTATTTCTAATATCATACACAAATGATAAGATAAAGCTTGTTTTTTAGCTTTCTTTTTTAACAATATTTAATTATCACTAACACCTATTATTTTCTTTACCATGAGAAAATTATACTAGCCCAATTTTAGTTTTTTTTTTTTTTTTTTTTTTTGGTGACAGGGTCTTGCTCTGTTGCCTGGGCTAGAGTGCAGTGGCATAATCATAGCTCCCTGCAACGTCAAACTCCTGGGCTTAGGCTCAACTGATCCTCCTGCCTCAGCCTCCCGAGTAGCTGGGACTACGGGTGCACATCACTAGGCCCGGATAATTTTTATATTTTTTGTGGAGATGGCACCTTGCTATATTACTCAGGCTGGTCTCGAACTCCTAGGCTCAAGTGATCCTCCTGCCTCGGCCTCTCAAAGTGCTAGGATTATAGGCATGAGCCACTGAGCCTGGCCCTGGCACAATTTTAAAAGCAAAATCTAAAAAATATTATCATTCTAAAAAGAGAGCCAATACAAGGCATCCTCTTAGTATTCACCATTAAAATGAAGAGAACCAGTAAGTGAAGTGAAACTTAGTAAGCCATTGCTGACCTGTCAGGCTTGTACTTCCTCAATTTTAAAACGTGTGTGTGTATGTATGTGTATGTGTGTGTGTGAGAGACAGAGAGACCAACAACCTTTCTTGTTCTAATTCCAGAGTCTACAATCATAGGTCTTAGTGAAACTCACTTAACAATAAAGGCTAATTACTGCTAATTCAAGAATAACTTGTTCTAGGCTGGTCCAAAGGCAGTGAGTTATCTCACTTGATTGTTCATAGTCCAGTTATAGATTGAACTCCTTGTTCTACTACTTTCCCCTCTTCTCACTACTGCACTTGACTAGTCTTAAAAAAAAAAGAATAACTTGTTCTAATACTATGCTAGGGTTAAATTTGACTTCTTACGAATTAAAAAGATCTGCTTATTAAATCTCACAAAGGAGAAAGGTCAGATAGGACTTAGCAAAGACCTATCTACTGTCCAGTTATCGATCAAATAAAGGAAGGATGAGCTGGTAGAAGGTAGACACATGCACAACAGTCTGAAGTTGTTCTCCACTTCCAATAATATTCAACTGCAACTATATTTAGGCAAAGTATATATTAAATATTTCCTATAGCCTACTGAAAGTGTCA